TCCAGTCTTGATGCAGGGGGAGGTGCTCATTCCTGCCTCAACTTGATGTTCCATGCTTTGTTCAAGCCCATGAACAGCCTGCCTCTTTCTGAATGGAGATGGAGGAGGAGCGGATAGAGAGAGCGGTATATAGGAGGAGGCAGGAGGTATATAACTTAAATAATATTCATTAAATAAAAAAGAAAAAATATTGAGTAAAATAAATTCAAATTTCCAGTGTGTGTGTGTGTGTGTGTGTGTGTGTGTGTGTGTGTGTGTGTTTTAAGAATTGAAGTATATTCCTTAAGAGGAGGCCTATCTGAAATTTCTGAAATCTCTTGTGATGATTTTTAAATGAAACAAAATTTAAGAACTAGGGAATAAAACCTATTTGGATGAGAGAGACAGAATTACACTGAAGTGATAGTGTCTTTTAAAAAAATATAGTATGTAGTAATATTAACAAATATTGTCATTCACAAAAATATCTTGAAAACAGTAATCAACACACTTGTAGGAGGTTAGGATGACTTGACAGGCAGAGAGTTACAGAACTGAGAAGTATCACACCTAAAACCCTACGCTGAGGACTGTCACATATATGGGAACACTAGACCTTTGAGTCAGAAGGACATTAAGCTAGATAGTGATCATCCTTCCAACTCATTAGGATGTCTGCAAGTTACTCCAAGACAAGAGCCTGCAATCCTTTGTCCTTAATTAATTACAGATTTATGAAGACCATAGAATGCCTCTATGGTCATAATCTGTGAACTATTCCCACTCATATCTCTGATTCCACTCTTCTCTGGGCTTAAGGGAACCTGATTCCAGAGGAGTTCAGATCCTGAAATAGCTCAGTAGGACAAAGTAATTAGTCACAACCTTGCCAAGAGCAAATAAGAGTCCTACATTTGTGACTGATTATGGCCCTGATCATATCTGGCTATGTTTAGGGGAAAGGTGGTAATGGCGTGACAATCATGGATGGATCTGTAGTCATTGGTTCTACCAAGGATAGGCAGTAATGTCACAAGTCTAGAATCTACTTTATTGAGAGTTTAAAGTGCAGTTGGGAGACTCCTAAATTACTTAAGCACCAAACTGTGCATGAGTTAAAATGTATTAGCAGTATAGTCATTCACATTTTAATTCATCAGATTTCATGACAACTGCCACCATGAAAACTACATGCTTTGGAAAGGTTTCCACATGACACACACTCAATACAACTCAACTTGTAAACAGGCCCTAGAAGAGATACACATGCTACTCGAAAAGAACAGGTATATATGAGCCAATTTTGTATGTATACCAATAAATGGAAAGGACTGGAGTAAGAAAAAAACAACACCCTCAAGTCATGTTCAAATATTTCTCAGGTCAATATCTTTTAAAATCTTAGATCCTTATTCTCATTGTTTCTTTTGGACCGTTATCTCTCTAGGCAAACCTTAACAGCCTATCCTGTGATGATAACCCTACCATTGGGCACAGAATCATAGATGACATTTGTGACAGCACTTTTAATGACTGTTCCTTGTACTTGGCTCTCATCATCTAGTTCAAATGTTGTAAAGATGCCATATGTAGTGATATGTTAAAATTTTTCTTTCCTGGCAAAATATACATATTTATCAGTCTTACAATTATTATATAATTACACATTGTATTAAGATCTATTTTTGTAAATGGAAATACTTTGTGGCAGTATTTTTCAATAATTTTTCAATAATCTAAACTCAGCTCTCTGTTCTAGCTGTATGTAAAACTCAAGATTTCCTTTAGTAACAAGTGTCATTCACCCAACCTAAAATGACAACTCTGCTCTTTATATAGTATTTTACACAAGTATTATGTGTTGAAGGCTTGGTCACAAATGCAGTATTCAGACAGCTATGCAGATATGATAGGATGTTTACAACCCTGGCCTAGTCAATGGATCCATCCAGTGATGAAGTCACAATACGATGGCATTGTGGAAAGACTGAGGATACTAGAATGTGAGATTTATTTGGAAGAAGTAGACGACAAGCATACTTTTGAAGAATACACTTCATTTCTGCTCCATCACCACCTCACTACTTCTTTGTTGGAATGAGGTGAACAGTTTTTTTCCTTTATCTATCTATTAATTTATCATCTCAATGTGAGATCAGTAATGCTAAGCCAAGCCAATTGACCATGGATAGAAGCCTCTGAAATCATGACTAGAATAACAATTCTTTCCTCTTTTAAGGAGTCTTTTTAACTCTTTAATCACAGAGATCCAGAAATAACAAAAGGAGCAGACAGGATTGAATGGTAACCTCAACTTCCATATTGGTGAAACCGTTGCTATATTCCCCAGCAGAAGAACACACACTTGAGATTTATGTCAGCTTTGTATACCACTGTAGGTCCTCCTGTCCCAAAATTTATTTCAGCTCAGCAACAGAACCAGTTCTATACTTTAAATATGAGTCTTAATTAGGGTTTCTATTGCTGTGAAGAAATACATGACCACAGCAACTATTATAAAGAAAACATTTGTTGGGGCAGCTCACTTACAGTTCAGAGGGCCAGTCCATTATCATCATGATGGGACATGGCAGCATGCATGCAGACATGGTGCTGGAGAAGTAGTTGAGAGTCCTGCATCTTGCAGGCTACTAGAATTGGCCTGTCTCACTGGGCATGACATTATCATACATGAGACCTCAAAGCCTGTGACAAACTTCCTCCAACAAGAAGACACCTACTCCATCCTGGACACACTTCTTAATACTGGCACTCCCTTTGGAGGCCAATTTCTTTCAAACTACCACACTAGGTGGATGGGACAGCATCTCATTTCCATCTTTCTGAATAGTCTTTCCATTTTTTGCACTGAGACCTCTCTGGATCACAGAGAAAGATGTCATGGGGGATATTCTCTACACTGATGCAAATACTAAGAATGAATTATTTTGCACAGTGAGAAAGGCATACTGGGGTTCTTCTTCTGCGTGTGAAAATTTTTAGACTTTGTATTTGTGCCACCAGTTTGTAGAGAACAGTCAATAGATTTGGCAATAGGCTGGATTGTTTGTTGGCTTTCTTTGGTGCCCCTTTGGCCTATTTAGTTGTAACACATTCCAAGCACTGGAGGTTTTTTTTACAAATGATGGTAAGGCTGTAGTGCTAAATCACACATACACATCTCATTGAACATGCAGAATCCAGCTGGTGCCTAATTAGAGCTTTAATACCTACTAAATATATTCATGGTACTAGAATGTATTCTGCATAGTACTAGAGAAGGAAAGTATTGAAAGATTTTAGTTTGCTGAGAGAAAAAGTTTCCCACAGGCCTTGGCCCAGGACAAGGAAGTTGGCCCCAACCCTAGGGCAGACAAACAATCCTTTTTGGGTCACACCTGGCCAACAGACAACTGGGGACTCTCCAGGGTACATTCTGTGGTTTTTCCTTTGTAGAAAAGCAGGTCACACCTGGGTGACCACTCTAACATGAGATCATACTTTGTAATCAGTCACTTTGTGCCCCTTGCCTGTATGCTGACCTGTGGCCTTTTCCTATATAAGGAGCTTGCACCCCATGCTGGGGTGTGCAGCTTTCCTGATATTGCTGGCACCCGAATGCGAATTTGTTCAATAAACCCTCTTGATTTTGCAGTTCTTGGTCTGGTTTCTGAGTCTTGGGGGCTCCTCGGGATCCTGAGGCCCCTAAGGGTCTGGGGGTCTTTCAGTATATACCCTCTTACCTCTAAACCCTTTGCTCTACAATTGGGACTTGCCTACATGATGCACTGGTGCAATAGCAGCAAACACACGTGGAAGTATAATATTATATGATGGGTTTGAAGGTCCATTCCTTGAGATGGACCCCATTTCAGATACTGCTCAGTTTACTAAAATCTGGAACAAGATAGGCCATGGACCTATGAGGAAATCAAATACTATTGTTCTGCTAAAGAAATGTAGGCATATGACTCTTAATTACATCCTGTTATAGTCACAAATGAGTGACTTGAATAGCAACCAGCAGAGAAGTTTCCTCCTGCAGTCAATGGAAACAAGCACAGAGACCTGAAACTGGGCAATGTACAGGGGTTGGGAGACCTTGCAACAACTTCCATCAAACCTCTCTCCTTGTGGCTCAGGGAAATTTGTGGATGAGGAAGATGAAGGATTGTAAGAGTCAGTGAGGGTGGAAGACACCAAGGAAGCAATGCCTTTCAGACACAACAGCACTGATGCACATATGAGCTTACAGAGCCTGTGGTTGCATGCTTGGGGTTTGCTCAAGTCCAATTTGGGGATCCAGTGCTGAGAAGGGGAAGTATTCATGATCTCCCATCATGATAACAGAAGCTACCACCAATGGCCACTCACAAAGGAAAAAATTCATTTTGTCCAATAGAGTCTCAGTGAGTAACAAACACTTAAGAGCAGGCTCTACGCTCAGTGGTAGACAAAACAAACAAAAACAAAAAACAAAAAAATCCCCAAACTGAAATTAAATGATAATGTTGTAAAGATTTTATTTTGTCTCTTAATTTTTTGTTTGGGCATTTTGCTCATATATTATGGTTTCTGATTTTGTGTTTTTATTGAGTGTGTGTGTTCCTTGTACTTTTTCTTTGGTTTTCTTTTTCCTATGTGTATTCTAACAGAGAAAGAAGGTGTGGTGTTGAATATTTGAGGAGGATCTGGAAAGAGATGGAGGGGAAACAAAATCAGAATATACTGTGTGAAAAAAATCTATTTTCAATAAAACACGAAAAGCTAAATTTTCAATTGCTTTACATGTGAATTTTATAAGCACACAATCAATTTGTACAAATAGTTCTTGTTGGAATTGTGATGTAATTTCATTTTGTATTGAAGAGACGACATCTTAAACAAAATTATCCTTTCACCCACAGCTAAAGCTTGAACTGAACTGAAATCCAGATGCAGAGAAGGAGGACTGATGAGCAAAGGGGTCAATACCAGCCTGGTGAAACCCACAGAAACAGCTGACCTGAACAAGGGAGAACACTTGGTCCCCAGGCTGATAGCTGGGAAACCAGCATGGGACTGATCCAGACCCCCTGAATGTGGGTGTCAGTGAGGAGACCTTGGAAATCTATGGGGCCTCTTGTAGAGGATCAGTATTTATTTATACCAAATGAATGGACTTTAGGAGCCCCTCCCACATGGAGGGCTACTCCCTGAGCCTAGGCACAATGGGGTTGGCCTAGGCCCTATCCCAAAGGATATGACAGACTCTGAAGTCCCCCACCCCAGTGGAAGGCCTCACCCTCCCTGGGGTGATGGATAGGGCATTAGTTGGGGGGCAGAGGGGAGAGGAGGGAGAGGGACCTGGGATTGACATGTAAAATAATTTTCTTTATAATAAAAAAGGAAAAAAATTAACCTTACAGTACAAGAAAATCATATATCAAAATATACATTAAGCTGTTTTTTTCTTTAATCTGTATTTTACAGTTTTGAAAGTATAATATGGATATTATACATACAGAACTAGATTATGGAACAGCCTTCACCACTGTGATTCCTGCCTGTGAATACAATGTGACCAGTTGTCTGATATTCCTGCTGTCATGCCTTCCTCCTATGGTGGACCTAAGCCCTTAAACAATGAGACAAAATAAATGGCTTTCTTGAGAGCTTCATGTATGTGTATAGTGCATTTTAGAGACTTCATCCCTGATTCTTCCTTAATAAAGACTTACAGTTTCAGCTACCTTCCCTTAGTTGCAGTCTGACTGTATTAAATTGAAATGCCAGAGATTAACAGTTCACAGTTTTAAATGGTTTGCTCTCCCCATATTATGAAAACCAAGTGCTCTCGGTCTCCATCCTACAAGAGATTTGAATAATCAGCTCATCTAGCACTTATACATCCTATCTGCTGCCCTCCCTGTGAGGTGCTCTTCAGCTATCTTGAGAACCAAGTCAACTCCTTTTCTGTGAAGCCTTATATAAATATTTACAGGTAGATCTTCAGTGAGGTTTAGAGAGAAGGCTAAAGCTGTATCACATTTCCTGTGTCTAACCCCTTTCTTCCTGTTGCATAGGCATTGTAATTGTTTGAATGTTCAAAAGTAGCAAGGTACAGTATAGTACAGTATATTTTCTGAGAATGAAAATAGAGAGCAATAGATGGCTTTAATTATGGTAAATTACTACTATAACTAATTATTATCATTTGTTACTGTTGGTCTTTATTGTTCCTCACTTGGAAGTGGAACTTTACTATACACAAATATTTGTGGAAGAAAGCACAACAGTATAGGATTTTGGTGCCACCTTTGTTTTCAGACATCTTCTGAGGAATTTGAATATATTCCCCTGTGGGAGGGAGAAATTGCCATATTTTGAAACACTAAAAACAAACTACTGAGTGACTTTACAATATTTTAATATATACTTTTAGTTTCGGATCCTATGATGTTGTTAGCTTAGTAGTTCTAGAACATTCTTTGAGACTCTCTGGAATTATGAATGAAAAATTGTGTTGACTATGAATAACCTACCCATGTACTTCTGCATATATAAATAGTTTAGTTCTTTTATGTTGTTGTTCTTTGCTACAACCTGATAAAATGTTTACATTTCCAGGACTTAAAAATACTTTGAGCCATATGTTGGTGGCACACGCCTTTAATCCCAGCACTCGGGTGGCAGAGGCAGGCAGATCTCTGTGAGTTCCAGGCCAGCCTGGTCTCCAGAGAGAGTGCCAGGATAGGCTCCAAAGCTACACAGAGAAACCCTGTCTCGATAAACCAAAAAAAAAAATGCTTTGAACTTGTTACAGACTATCAACATTGTTGGGAATACCACATAGAATTGGGCATAGAATTTTGAGAGAAATTTATGCTGGATTATACACATTGAAAAAGAAAAAAGATCTAAAATTAATTGTAGTAGGAACCTAGGAAAAGAAGAATGTCTTAAACTCAAAGGAAGCAGGGAAAAAGAAATTACATGCTATGAACATACATATACAAGCATGTATGTACTCACATACACACACATACTTACATACACAAACACACACACACACACACACACACACACACACACACACACACACACAGGGTAGGAATCCATAGAATTTGAAAACCAAATATCAAAAGAAGTTATGGAAATCAAATGCTGGTACTTTTAAAGGAGTGATAAAATAAAAAAAAAATCCAGTAACTCAGCTAACAAATGGAGAAAGGGATGTAAGTCACTAGGGAGTGAGATGAATGAGGAGTCACTCTATACATGCCAAGGAAATTTAAATAGTAAAAAAGAATTATGGAAACAACTCCATCCTCACAAAATGATGGTCTAGATCAAAGCAGCAGATTTCTTTAACACAAAGCATTTACAATTACATCAGTTGTTTTCAAATGGCCCACCTTTAGCCTACATAAAAATCTAAACTGGAGATACATGTAAATCCTGTCCATTCCATAAACAGGGAAATGGCAATACGGATTGATATTCTTTTCATTTCCACCTTCCCCAAAGTATATTGAGGCATGATCCAAGGCTATCTTCAGTCCCTACCTCAGGGGAATGGGAAAATTAGTCCTAAATAAGTCCTGGGCAATTACAGTAATCTTTAATGAGTTAAGCAGGATCTGGACTCCTCTGGGATGCAGAGCCCCTGGGTCCAGAGATGGATAAAAGAGAACATGTAAGAAGGTGTTGACTACAGATGCTGTTCTTTCCTGTTCTTATAATGAATGAAGGGGACCTCCAGTCATCCTAGATAATTGTCAGGAGGTACCTTAGTGTCTTCCAACCTATGGATCTTCCATTTCCAGTTTTGTGATAATGTGACCGACAGTTTTCAGGTATTTATACCATTCTTTGCCATTCCCATACTTTGCAACATTTTTCTATACAGTAAAAATACCTTGTTCCACAGTTGCATTGATAATCATTATGGTGATGATCAGGTTTATTACAATTACTTAAAGGGTAATTATTTTTCCATTTCAAGGTTAGGGACAATTCTGGAGTTGTTAAGTATTTTTAAAAAGCATCTTTCACTATGGAATATTAATAAACCTTGAACAGATCCTTTATCCAAAAGAGCTCAGAGCAAGTAATGCATGTACTTGCTCCTTACTGAAACCCATCAACCAGAGTATTGACATCACCTGAGTGTCATTTATAAAGGTGAGTATCAGCTTCAAAAACAGAGTCGGTGTTTTCAGAGAAGCCCAGGTGAATTGCATTATATTAACTGATAGAACCATGTCAACAGGAGACTCTCATATGCTATTCAGTTCAAGAATTGAAGGAGTAAAGTCCATTGGCAGAAACTGCAAGCTTCAAAGGTGACATCTGCTTTGTAATCTTGAATATAAGGCTACACAATTCATTTATTATATTATTCTTTATCAATAAAAACTCAGGAGTCAGATATAAGGGGAAGAATGATCAGAGAAGCTGGTGAGACATGACCAATGATCTCCTCACTCTCTCCTTCCTCTATCCAAAAGGGCTGAGAAGCTTTCTAAACCCCTCCCTAGAGGACCCTAAGAGAGACATACATGGTCCCTCAGAGAAGGGGAAAGGGACAAGATCTCCTGAGCTAATATGGAGCATGGGGGAGGGGAGAGGGAGTTAGGAGAAAGAGAAATGAAGAAGGGGGGAGAGGAGGACATGAGAGAGCAGGAAGGTTGAGTCAGGGGAAGAATAGAGGAGAGTAAGAAAAGAGATACCATAATAGAGGGAACCATTATAGGTTTAAAGAGAAATCTGGCACTTGGGAAATGTCCAGAGATCTACAAGGTTGACCCGAAATAACAATCTAAGCAATAGTGGAGAGGCTACCTTAAATGCCCTTCTCCGATAATGAGACTGATGACTACCTTATATGCTACCCTAGAGCCTTCATCCAGTAGCTGATGGAAGCAGAAGCAGACACCCACAGCTAAACACTGAGCTGAACTCTGGAATCCAGTTGCAGAGAGGGAGGAGTGATAAGCAAAGGAGTCAAGACCAGAGGAGAACCCCACAGAAACAGCTGACCTGAACAAGGGGGAGCCCATGGACTCTTGACTGATAGCTGGGAAACCAGCATAGAACATTTCCAGACCCCCCTGAATGAGGATGTCAGTTTGGAGGTGTGGTTAATCTATGGGCCTCTGGTAGTAGATCAGTACTTATCCCTAGTACACGAATGGACTTTGGCAACACACTCCACATAGAGGGATACTCTCTCAGCCTAGACACACACAGGAGGGTCTAAGCCCTGCACCAAATGATATGACAGACTTTGAAGATCCCCTATGGAAGGCTTCACCCTCCCTAGGGAGCAGAAAGGTATAGGGGGTGGGTGGGGGGCAGGAGACGAGAGGAGGGAGAGGGAACATGGGATTGACATGTAAAACAAGCTTGTTTCTAATTTAAATAAAAAGGGCAAAAGAATAAACCCCTCCCTAATACTTCATGTGTTCTCCAAAACCTCTGTGGCTAATTTTGGTCGGCTAGTAGCTAGCTCTGTTCTCTAATTCAAGGCAAATTTTATTGTCAGCCTCACAAGTGTAAGAGTATGATCAAAATATCCCACATCTGCATAAGACATGGGCCCCATTCATTCACAGAATAAGAGGTACTAGATGCACGATTTCACCTATATTGCCCTTCCCATTGCCACCAAGCATAGCATTCAAGTGTTAACCTGTTAATGCAGTTACACCAATGACCTTTAGCAGAGTGGAGACTCCAGCAGCTGGACTCAGTCAGATAGTGTCGTGGAAGGATGTCCCACTGCTCTGTGTGTTGTTCATTTTCTTCTATTTTATCAGTTAGAGATGAAACTCGGGGCCTTCGGTATGCTAGATAGCTATAGTACCACTGAGCTAAATGCCCTGCTCCTACATCTCTTTGTGTGTCTCATGACTTCTTCACCAGCTTTGATGCAGACTAGTGCTGTTCATTAGACAGAGTTATCTAGAAGAAAGGAGAACAGGACAAGGAACTGTCTTTTAAAGATTCAGTCCACCTACTTGGGAACTGATAAATCCAGTAACTGCTGACCAGAGTCCCTGGGAGGAGTGGAGGTTACAGTCTTAAATCTGAGGCAGTCTAGACAAGTTTTCTCAAGAGACTGCAGTTTTTCTGTTTCTTCCTATAATTACTTGCATGAATCATCACATTATGAAGAGTTACAGTTGCTATACAATGATTTAATATTAATTGCTAATTTAAATGTTAACAACAGTGTAAAACACATTCATAGACATTTTCAGAAGTATTTGCTATCCAGACCTAGACCAGTTCCTTTTATAATTAACTATAAAGTAACATATACCTATCTTAAGGTGAAGTCAAGAGAAGGATGAAAATAACTGCTACTTCATAAAATGTTCATCATATTTATTTTCCTACATCACTTTCAGTGGGGTCATTTGAAATGAAGCATAAAATGATGAGTCATTAGTATTATTGAAATGAGCATTGCATCTTACCCACCCTAATACTTTCCATGAATACACAGTTGCATCTGTAAAGCTAATCACAAATTATCAAATTTTCATTCTAAAATGTTCTAGTTTAGTGACTTTATATTCTGGGAAGATTGAAGAAGTGTAATTATTTGGTTTTAATGTTCATTTCTAGCTTAAATTTGAAAGAGTCTTTTTCTCATGATACAACATCACCA